GAGCGCGGCGGCAGGAGGAGGGCTTGGAGGGTGGGGGCGCAGGCCCGGGAGGGGGCACCGGGAGGAGGTGAGTGTCTCTCGTCGCCTCCTCCTCTCCCCCCTTTTCGCCCCCGCCTCCTTGTGGCGATGAGAAGGAGGAGGACAGCGCCGAGGAGGAAGAGGCTGATGGCGGCGGCGGAGCTCCGAGAGACCTCGGCTGGGCAGGGGCCGGCCGTGGCGGGCCGGGGACTGCGCCTCTAGAGCCGCGAGTTCTCCGGAATTCGCCGCAGCGGACGCGCTCGGCGGATTTGTGTTCCTGTGCCCTCCTCCGGGCTTGGGCCCAGGCCCGGCCCCTCGCACTTGCCCCTACCTTTTCTATCGAGTCCGCATCCCTCTCCAGCCGCCGCGACCCGGCGAAGAGAAAAAGGAACTTCCCCCACCCCCTCGGGTGCCGGCGGAGCCCCCAGGCCCAGCCCTGGGAGCGGGGCGGGGACCCCGGGCCGAAGAAGAGATTTCCTGAGGATTCTCGTTTTCCTCGCTTGTATCTCCGAAAGAATTAAAAATGGCCGAGAATGTGGTGGAACCGGGGCCGCCTTCAGCCAAGCGGCCTAAACTCTCATCTCCGGCCCTCTCGGCGTCGGCCAGCGATGGCACAGGTTAGTTTTGGGAGCTCTGGCCTTCCACATTCTCCATAATCTTTTCTGCTTGGTGTACCTTTATTCTTCCACGCTTTTTCCTTTCTCTCTCCTAGTTCTCTGTCCCTTAATTAATTTTAAAGGTGTTTGAATGAGCTGGTCGAAGACGTCCAGTAGCCCAACCATTTTCTTTGCCTCCTAATACATTCGTTGCAACACTGTGTCATGTTGATGTGTGTTCTGGAATTAGAGCTCGTAAGTGGTTGCTGTGTAGAAATGGCCTTTATTGTTGCTCCTGTGCAGTTTAATTTGGGAATCCCAACGCATTTATGTGTAAGGGCTTTTATGCAGTTTGAGTTTTAAATTTTTTGTTGTGGTCACTGAAGAATTGGGAATCCTTTCTCCGTCTTGCACTTATTCTGTTTCCTCTACTTTCCACTCTTTTCAACATTTTCTTTCCTTTACACAAGATTTTCTGTTGGATGTAAAATTTTGATTTTATTTGTGTGTGAGAGCTCCAGGATTTCAGGTTAGGAGTGGAGTTTAACAATTATTTTATCTTGCCTACCATTATTCTTGGTTTTTCTTTTTATTTGCTTTAAGAATCAATATGGAGCGCAGTTCATTTCACATCTCCCAGTTTCTTTGGTGTGAGACCAAAATGTCTGAAACTCTGGATTTTCAGGTTGGGAGAGCAGAGGCATTTTCTTTGCAGTTTGTAGTTACTTTCTCATTTGGGGGGAGGGAGAAAAAAGATAAACAGTTTTGTGGAGTTACATGCCTGGAAATCAAGGTCAGAAGTTGAAAGAGTCCCAATCATGAACTGCAATCATGAGCTAATTGCATAAAAGTTTGAAACGTGCATTATGTTTTGTGTGTGTTGTGTATTTGTATTTTGAAACTTTAAACATGTGTGGAGATCAAGATTTCTTTACTTCACTCAGTTGTGGACTAGCCCTTTTGTCAGGAAAAATTAAGGTAGACCTCTTCCATCATTCCTTCTTTCTCTTACAGTTAGTTTAATGATGTTATCCTGATAGCTATGGACCTTCTCTTTGCTGTCGTAGTTGTATGAGATGCTGGGATAATGAAGAGGAAGAATGGCTGGCCATCTGACAGTCTGCAAGATGTTCCCCCTTACTACGGAGCATCTCTAACTCCCTGAGAACAGGCTCAACGTCATCCCTCCATCTGCCAGTGATAGCGTATAATGGAGTTAAATGTACCCTTTGAGTTTTTAGAGAACTTCTAGAGCATGTTTCTAAGTAGGCTTCAGAGGATGAAAATGGAAGGATTTAGTAAATACTTTGAATTCTTTGCTTTTATAAGAAAGATGTGTCATGAGTCATAAGTTTAAATTAACCTGCAAAAATTGAGAAGTAGTTATCTTACAGAGTCCCTCTGCCTAAGGCTTGTAACGTTGGTTATGCATGAACTTTGATCTGTGCCTATTCCTTGAAGCTTCTGTAGTTTCTAGGGATTTTTTTTTTTTTTAGCTGCATTTTCTTCAGAATTCATACACATATACATCAGCGTATTCCTCTGCATCTACTAAAGTGTCATTCAGAAGAATTTTTTAAAGATAATCTTGAGACACGTATTCCCCTGTACATTTTTTATGTTTTTTTCAGTGTTTATGAAGTATAGTAGTTTCGCTTTTTAGTCTTTGTGTAATGTGGTAATGGATTTTATGTTTGAGTTAGCCAGTGGCTTGGAATATGGTAGGGAAAACTTTTCAAATATACTTTACTTTGATGAGTCCCAATTTGAGCAGCTTAGTCTTGGAACTGTATTGTTCAAACACTTCTGTTTAGGTGTACTACTGCATTTTCCATAGCTGATCTGTGTACTTCAATATGCAAAAAACTGTTTAAAACCTTTGAATAATTATGAGACCCAACTATATCAAGTGGGCTTTTATAATTTAAAAAATAACATTGAGATTAACTCATTCATTCATACTAAGAGTTTATCTTAGTATTAGTAAATTTTTTCTAAATTTTGTTATAAGGATTCCTCCTCATCAAGATTCTACTCTGGGAATTCTTTGGTGTACAGTTTTTAATTGTAACCAGTCTGGGTTTTGGGGGGAGGGAGTGAGTATAAAGAAAATGCTGTCCTTCTACGAACTTACTTCAAGTTGGGTACCATCACATCTTGATATTTTTTGCATCCAGCAATGTGTAATACAAGTTTGCAGGCAACTTTCAATGCAGGCTTATCACTTTTTAAAACTTTAAATTTCAAATATAACTTCTACATTTTGACTTTTGAATTGTTACTTGGATATCCTGTAAATGTGAACTTACATTATTCCTTGGTACTTGACGTGGAACTAGTCAAAATGAGCTTCAAATTCTAGACCCCAGAAACCTTTTAAAAAGTGGCTTAGTCTTGCAAATTTTATAGTGTAAGTATAAAGTATAAAGAAAACTGGAAAACATGAGTTAACATGCTAAAGTGTTACAAATCAAATTGGTATTTAAATCCCAACTTCTTAATTTCTAAAGTTAGGCTCCGATACAGCACAAAAATGACTTATTTATTTAATGCTCAAATATTCCTCTAATAACTTGCATATTGATACAAATAACTTGAATTAAACTCAAGTTGTGTGTGTTGGAATGGGGAGGAAAAGACATATTTGTAGCCTTTGCTCCTTTGTGTTCCGTTTCCATAATTGCATTTGATCCACTGAAAGTTTTATTTAGTTTTGTATAGTTAGGGCAAAACAAAACATTTGGTAATGACTTTTTGTCTTACCTCTGCTACCCTTCAAAATGATCATAATAGCCATTTATTAAAAACTTTTTAGTAAAATTGCTGACCAGAAGACCAGAAAAATTAATATCAGATAGATCCTGAAAATACTTCTTGAACCTCCTTTTTCTGATAATTTGGGTGATGGAAATGAGGATGATTTGCTGCCTTCATTACTGAATGAACGTGTTCTGTTACTACTTAATACTATATGCACTTAAAGAGCAAACTCTGAAAAGATGGGTGATAGTTTTGAGAATCTGGCAGAATTAAATAGGGTAAAGATCCTTCTGGTCTTGGTACAATTTTGTGGCCCTGGGTTTTTTGTGTGTTGTAGTTTTTAGGTTTTCCCCCTAATTTCAACGGTACAGGGCAGGTAATGCATAAAATATACCTATGTTTTGACCACTAGATTAATGTAGAGAAGTGGTAAGGATTTTTTAAACATCAGTTTTACTTTCTTAATATACCATTGTGTATTAGTGATTTATCATCCTACCCGAAACATTTTGGTGGAGACCATTTCTTTTCCACTTTTAAACCTATGCTACTATGTTCTAACTTTATTTTTTAGGCATGGATTAGAGTTCTTCTAGAGGCTTTCAGATACAGCTCCTTGATCTAGTGAGGCGTTGCTGACCTTATTGCTAAATTACAAAACATTTTACTAAAGTGCCTTAAACTTCTCTGGCAATTATTTATTCTCAAGGCCTTGTAAGTCCATTTATAGGGCTTCAAGAAGGTTGTCTGGATTGATAGTGAGATAAAGTGATTTTGTTCAGTTGCAACTCTTGTATGTGTTACAATATAGGCACCCTTTTCCAGCAGGAGTTTATGTTCTGTGGCAGAGGTAGGAATCGTATTGACATGTCCAGAGAATGGATAATATGAAAGGGAGGGCAGGGTTTCTTTCTTGGATGACTTTTGGTATTTTTGTTTTGTTTTGCCTTGCTTTTCTGCCTCTTTAGTCTATTCTGTAAAAAGGAAAAATTTGGAATAGTTGAAAATTAGTGCAAAGTGGTGTTTGTAGGAACATTAAGTGGTAAATTGGAAAGAGAAAAGAGTAGGAAGACTGCTGCAGATACAAGTAAATGTGTAAGGTACTTCCTACTATATTTACAAAAACAGTTCAGGAGTTGTTCTGCCTCTTTCTTTATTTATTTATGAGTTGGGTCTCTGTCACCCAGGCTGGAGTGTGGTGGCACGTTCATGGCTGCTGCAGCCTTGACCTGCTGGGTTCAGGCAATCCTTCCACCTCAGCCTTTCAAGTAGTTGGAACTACAGGCACGAACCATCATGCCTGGCTAATTTTTTTTTTTTTTTTTAGATTTTGTAGAGGTAAGTTTCCCTATGTTGCCCAGGCTGCCTGGAACTCTGGGCTCAGGTAATCCTCTCACTTCAGTCTTCCAAAGTTCTGGGATTGATTACAGGCGTGAGCCACCAAGCCCACCTATTCTACCAATTTATATAGCCAACAATTAATAGAAAAATAAAACATGCAACTTTTGTGTGTTTGTCCAGATTTTAGAGTTTCCTCCTTTGAGGATTTTTAAAGTTCAATTTTTTTGAGTGTGTGGCAAACTAAACTTAGTGGACAAGTAAAAAAAATTATACCACATGTAAAAATTTTAAAACATTAAGCCAGGCTTGGTGGCTCAGCCTGTAATCCCATGCCTTTGGGAGGCTGAGGTGAGTGGATTGCCTGAGCCCGCGGGTTCGAGACCCG